TAAATACAATACTGGATTAGACTGAACCAGTGGATTAATCTATTTCAGTCTTCTGAAGCAAAGCGATAGGTGTGTGTGTAAGAAAACTATATTTTAATCCATTGCTTCCGGTCAAATGTCATACATACATTTATGAGAGCTTTGACTTTATGCTAGACGTAAATATAAGTGTGATGTGGATTACTATCATCATTGTTGTAATGTATGTGCATTATGAAGCATCGACAATCTGGTGCCTAATCACTTGCATGCTATGAGTTTGGCCACATTACTGTCATTCGGCTTATCAAAATAGTTTCACAGACACAGCATGTTACTTAAGGGACTTTATATTGTTGCATTAACTGACTTTAAAAAAAACAACTGCAAGCAGCAGCAGGGGGTTCAGAGAGACAGCATGTTAAAAAGTATAATTTATCATATCATGCATCTTGTTATTTTAAGCAGCCTATAAAAAACACTATGTAACCGAGTGCAAGAGAGTGTGTGTGTTTAAAGTGCTCATGTATAAACAGTTCTCACTAATGACTTGAAAGATGCTCAACGTCCGGCCCCAGTGGAGTCCAGTAATGAATATATCAATATGTTCAGAGACTCTGGAGAAAAAAGACACAGAGAATCACTGGGGACTTGACAGATCATTTGTTCCAATTTAATCCACATGTGAAAATCAAAGCCGCATATGAAATGCTGCGAACGTCAGATGATCTGATTGTGACGCACAACGCTGTAGATCTGTTTGAAGCTCACCTCAGACAGATATTTCTGTACAAAATCACAACATTAAAAAAAGAACAAATTTGCAATCTTTTTGGCACAAGAACATGTTTGCAATGGGAATGAACAGATGCAAGACGGACAACACGACAGATATAGTTCTGTATAGGTCAAATGTGTATCCTTGTGGATGGTAAAACATTTTCTCTCGTCCCTGAACAGAGAATAATCGATCCATCAGAACATTACAGCTGCATTTAGTACTTTGGTGCTAATTACCTATATATATATATACTGTATATATATATTAACACAGTCAAACCAAAAAATATTCAGACACCAGATATAATTTTTTATATTTTTTTACTAGGGGGTGCAGGACACTACAGTTAATTTATGTAAAGTGAGGATAACAAAATAAAGTAAACTGTGACATTATACCCAAAAATTCTTCATACAGTGGCCTACCAGTAAAATTGATAAAAATTTGGGACCAAAAATTTGATTTGACACTGTAGGATCTGCATTTTGATTTTGTATATTGTGTTCTTTCAAAAAATAGTTTCCCCCCCAAAACAAATCGGTTGTTAATTGCTCACCCTCATGTCATTCCAATACTCTAAGACCTTTGTTTATCTTTGGAGCGTAAATTAGGCTATTTTTGATGAAATCTGAGAGCTTTCTGTCCCTCTGCAGGCAGTCATGCAACTTACACAAGGTCCAGAACGGTAAGAAAGACATTAAGCAATCCATGTCATTATAATTAATCCAATTTTATTAAGTGATGTGAGTGCTTTCTTGGCACAAAAAGAAAAAAAAACATAGTTTACCACTTAATTTCCCAAAAATATTATCCAAACACATGTTGTGGTACTCTAGTGCAGTGGTTCTCAAACTTTTTACAGCGGCGTACCCCCTAGGGCATTTAACATTCTTCTGCGTACCCCCTCTCTTCCACTTAGACCGCAGTCACACCTTTTCTATTAAAGGACAATATTTGCCACCTTAAATTGATTTACAGGTGAATTTTTACCTTTATAGAGGCAAATATTTTCTATCCTTATTAATTGTATATCATGTTTTGTCATATTCTTAACATTCCATTAAGTGTATTATTAATATAATAAATAAAGCAATAAATGATGGCAAATCGAAGTGATAGCTGTAGATTTAAAAATAAAACCGGCAATATGTGTCTTAATGAGCCAGGCGTCGCGTCATTCATTCATTCAGTAACGAAGCAAAATGCTGTAGTTATGAATGTGTTATTAATCACTGACTCTCCGAAAATCTAAAAAGTTGGTAAGACAAAAGTCTAAGGTGACAGTTCCACAGGTTGCCATGGCCAAGTGAGTTCATTGAAGAAAATAAAAGGAAAGTTATTACGCCTACCAAGTTCCTACGTAAGACCTAGTGCATACTCATAAATTCAACACAATGGAATAAAAACACTCATCAGCCACCCACAACACCCTAGGATAGCCGGCAGGTTCTTGCACATGCAACTCACTCCCATTTTCTTCCGGAAAAGAAGGTGGCACAGAAATTGCGCACTGCAGCTTTAAATGAGAGTGAAGATGGTTTATCCGTGTGTCTTGAGGGTTCGAGCATCAGCTAAACAAAGATGAAGCACGAGGGCAACAGAGAAAAGAGATGTGAAATGAGCAGCGTTCAGATGAAAGCCCATGATGGCAGGGCTGGATGGATGCAGCTTTAGGGTCATGATGGAGCACATGCTCACACCAGGAGGAGAAGAGCTTATGAGATCAGCAGCTCTGACCCTCTGACTCACACACAATCACAAACACACAGAGAGTCTCCAACCTCTCCAAGAAACCAAAGAGTATAGAAGACCAAGAGGCGAAACTCTGATGCTTTTTTTTAAACAGCCGCAAGGTGGCGCTTCGGTCGCTTGGCCGCCATTTTGGAGTGAATATTCCAACTGAATAACAGCACAGATACACAGAAATAGACAGAATAACAACAAGAGAAAGGTCAAAGTGGAATAAAAGAACGCAATGTTGGGCAATCCACTGCAAAAACTATCAGTGTGACAGTAAAAATATTGCCTTTCATCGTTAAATTTTTTAATACTTTACTATATTTAAGGGTGGTTAATTTTATCAGTTGTTTATTGCAACAATACATAACTACAATAACTTTGTCTAGTGCTCTTATGAAAGTTTATAGCATGATTTGTGAAAATGTAACTATACTGAATGACATAGCATAGACTTCTTCATGGCTAGTTTTTGCGTATTTCATTTAATTCTGTAACCTACTTGTTCTACAGATCTGTGTGTACTAGTGTTAAATGCTACTGTTTTTGACAGCATTGATAACGTCTATGACAGATAATATCATGATCATTTTTGCATTTCCCTTACCGAATGTCGTATCCTGTCAGCAAAACCCTGTCCGTGGGCTTTTTTTATTGCTTTCAGTTTAAGTGCTGACGATGCAGTGTTGCCAGATATTGATACTAAAACAAACAAAAAATTATTTCCACTCTTTTGCTAGTAAGATAAGATAAAGATATCGCTGACTCTAAACTGCAACTTCCTACTTTATTAACTTTCTA